AATAAAACATTTCCCAGAGGGGAATCAGATGAGCTCAAGTATCAGGTATCCATCTAGGAGCTAGTCAGTCATGGTCAAAATTAATGGTCACATAATATATGTCTAATATGGGCAACCTCTAAAAAGGAGAGAGAGACACCAAGAAAAAGGGTGAATTGCAGGCAAAAGGTATCCTACCTAATAAAAGAGTAATATGCAAATTAGCCATAACTCATCTATAAGCCATGCCCACCAGCCAATCAGAATGAGTATGCAAATTAACCCCAACCAAGATGGCTGCAGCCACAGAGAGCAGTTGAGAGGCTTGGGTTTCCATGGCAACAGAGGAAGCCAAGCTTTCCACACACCCAGGCCAGCCTAGGCCTCCACTCCAGGCTACAAAGTTTCAATTGTAGAAGGTAAATAAATTCCAGATACCAGGACCTCTGCTTGGGTTGCCAAGGCGGGGAGGGGAGGCGCATGGCTGACCTACAGTCACCACAGGCCCCTCACTCAGGCCACCCTACGCCCCAAGAGAATCCCCCCACCCTGACACCCTGATCCGGACATACTTCAGGGCAAACGAGCTGGCCCCCACCCATGTACCAGACCTCTATTCTATCTAATAAAAGAGTAATATGCAGATTGACCATCATTCCAATACACAAGATGGCTACATCCACGTGGTCAAAGATCTTGCCCCTATGTGGGCACAAGATGGCCACCACAAGATGGCCAGCAGGAGAGGGCAGTTGGGAGGCACCAGGCCTGCAAGGGAGGGCAGTTGAGAGAGACCAGGTCTGCAAGGGAGGGCAGTTGGAGGCAATCAATCCTGTAGGGGAGGGCAGTTAGGGGTGACCAGGCGGCAGAGGAGGGAAGTTGGGGGCAAACAGGCTGGCAGGAGAGCAGTTAGACATCAATCAGGCTGGCATGGGAATGGTTAGGGGTGATCAGGCTGGCAGGCAGAAGCGGTTAGGGGCAATCAGGAAGGCAGGCAGGCAAGCAATTGGGAGCTAGCAGTCCTGGATTGTGAGAAGGATGTCCGACTGCCCTTTTAGACCCGATCCCTCGAGGGGTCCCAGATTGGAGAGGGTTCAAGCTGGGCTGATGGACACACCTTCACTCTGTGCACAAATTTCGTGTGCCGGGCCTCTAGTCTTTTATAAGGCTCCAGATGGTTGCTTCAGGAACCTACAACTTAGTTGAGACCATAGATTTGGGTCTCCTCTGAGTCTCCTGTGCCCAGGATGAGGCTAGACATATTCTGGGGCTTCTCCATCAAGCTGGAAGACACTGTTGACTTTCCCTTATCTCCTGTCCATCACTGTCTCCTATGTACAGGCTCATAACCGCCCCATCTCTATCTCCAGTCCAGATACCTCTTCCAAGTGCCGAGTTCAAGCATCCAGCTTCCTACTTTACCTCTCCACTGGAATCTTCCAGAGAAATCTCAGATTTAACAAATCCTAGTGAAACTCGTGATCTTCAACAGCATTAGAAGTTAGAGTAGTGGTTACCTCTACAGGATAGGTATTGACTGGGAAGGAGGAAGAAAAAAATTACTGGCAGTGTTAAAAATGTTCTACATAATGATCTGAGTGGTGGTTACACACCCACACATGTGTATATATGTATGTGCTATGTGCAATTGACTCATCAAGTTGCACACTTAAAATCTGTGTGCATTACATCTCAATAAAAAATATAAGAAATTACTATAGATTAGTCCATTACCTTTTACTGATATCTATTTAAATTGGATTTGTAAACCCAATGCAGAAAGGAGCCAGACAGAAAGTATAAATGAATGTGGCCAATTATATTATTTTTCTCAATTATTCACTGCTTTCCGTTATACAGATCCGCCACTAGAGGTCACTGTAGAGTTTTGCATCCACACCTTGTGTGTAACGTGTCTGACCTCCAACTTCTACACCGAGAACCCTACAGGTTTTGAATAAATTAAGCCTGAAACATCTCTGGAAGCAGAAATGGCAAAACTAAAGTTGTCTTAGTTCGGGCACATCATGAGAAGACAGGGTTCTTTGGAAGAAACCATAATGTCCCAAAAAACAGATGGCAGCAGGAAGAGAAAGACCAAATATGAGACGGATTGACTCCACAAAAGAAGGCATAGCTGAGTCTATAAGGAGCTGGGCAGGGCTGTTGAGACAGGACATGGTGAACATCACTCATCATAAAGTTGCCAGGAATTGGAGCCGACTCAACAGTACAAAACACCAACAATCAGGTCAAAATGTCTGCCTGAGCGAAACTCCAAACCCATATTTGACCCCAGCTCAGTACCCGCTTCCCACATTAGTAGATCTGACTAGTCCTTCTAGGCGACCAAGAGCAAAGAGCCCATTCCTTTCCTGTGGTCTCACGTTCATGTAGGTGACTACCAAGTCATCTGGTTGCCAGAACTGAGGACAAGTTGCTAACTGCCCCGCAGCCTCTGGAGGGCATTCTGCCTGATGCTGAAATAGACCAAGGAAGACAGGACCATGCAGGATAATAAGTGAACTAGTGCACGTGCCTGCTGAAGGAGTCCCAAGAATGATGAATGAAGGATTCTGTAGGAAAACAGGGGGTCACATGAAGAATGTGCTCGCAGAGTCCAATCACTCTAGGCTGAAGAAGGCATGAAAGCTGGATTTTCCTTTTCTCCTTCCTGCCTTAGCAAGAGACCTCCATACTGGAGTAACCTGACACTAAGATATGACACAGATCCGCCTCTGCTCCCCTCCCAAGACTGCCTATAAGAAGTTGCTTTCCTCTATATTGAAATATTCACTTGTCATTTATTGACCTGACAAATATTTATTGTTAACTATGCTCCAAGCACCGGTGGCTAAATAAGATAGTCACAGTCAGGGCATGCCCACTTAGAACTTACAGTCCAGTAGGGACACAAAGATGATTGCAATGCAGTGTGACAAGTGCTAAGATAAGGAAAGAACAAACAGGGTACAATATGAGTACAGAGCAGGGGTCCCTGATGGGGACTTTGGAAGTCAGGGAAGGCCTCCTGAGGAAATGTTATTAAGTTGAGAGCCTAAGCAGAATGGAAGTAGGCCATATAAGAGGAGAATAAGAGTATTTCAGACAGAGATAGCACAGCCCAAAAGAAGAAAGAATCAGATAGGTTTTTATTTTTATATAGACAGTTTTGTATTTTACTGCTTTCCACTTACCTGAGTCACCATATCATTAACTATTATTGAAAACATGATTTTTTAATATATTTCTATTGATTTCAAAGAGAAAGTATAGAGAGAGAAATAGAAACATCAGTGATGAGAGAGAATCATCAATCTGCTGCCTCCTGCACACCTACCGGGGATCAAGCCTGCAACCCTGGCATGTGCCCTTGACCATTGGCCCTTCACTCCACAGGCCAATGCTCTATTTGCTGAGCCAAACCAGCTAGGGCAAAAACATGATTTTAACCACTGCCTAATAGTCCACTGGGAGGATAGTGACTAATTTATTTACCCATTTTCAAAGGGAAATAACAGTTTTAATGCTCATCCTAAATGCTCTCCCCTTATCAATATAAAACCATGTAAAATTATTATAGTCATACCCACAAAATCTCCTTCATTTTGCTGTCTGTTGGGAACAATTTCTGAACCCAACTGTTATCTACCCACAATAATACTGAATTTAAGCAAGGTGTTGGTTTACAAAATATTAATTCAATTTAACTATTTATAAATTTTGCTTCACTGTTTTACATAAATTGCCAGGTTCTTAAGCTAGAAACATTGATGAGAGAGAAACACCAACCAGCTGCCTCCTGCACACCCCCTACTGGGGATGTGCCTGCAACCAAGGTACATGCCCTTAACCGGAATCGAACCTGGGATCTTTCAGTCAGCAGATTGATGCTCTATCCACTGAGCCAAACCCATTTCAGCTGTCCCTCAGTCTTAATCTCCCCAAGTCTGCATCTCAACTCCCCATCTCCTCCTCAGCCTCAGGCACCCTCTTTTAATATTTTCTTCCATCCTTTCCCAGTAAATGATTTTTTTTTTAGTCTGTGACTCAATTTCCAAAGTTGCAAACATCATTTCGTAATTTTTAAAAACCATATTTTGGGGTAAAAATGTAAATATGACATATTTGACAACTTTCACAAACACTCTTACAGGAAGATAATTTAGGTGAAGGATCCACTCCCCTTCTTTTGAGCTATTTCAGATCTAATTCCAGTTGCTTTTGTTCTGTCTGCCTTTAAAATTGGTCTTCCTCAGCTGGCCCTACCCCTCATTGTAACCCTCTTTGCAACAAGGGCTTAGGTTTGCCTGTTTGTTTATGGTGCTGAGCACTTGAATTTATTGTCTGGGCATCCACCTACCCCTGTGGGGCACGTTTCAGAGAGAAAGTCTCACTGGCTGTGCACCTATTTGGGCAGCTGTTTAGTTCAAACTCTGTTTTAAATCAGAGATTTCCTGTGTCTCCTGTATTCTTCCATTGCTGTTTGACCTATCTGAGTTTGAGAGTTTGTTCAAAACCTCAGAGCACTCAAATAATCACGGAAGTTCTCAAATGCATTTATTCCACAAGTGAGTCTCTTTCCTCATGGCACCCAAGAATCTCCACATTAAACATGTACAGGTTCCTAACTCCCTCATGGTCCCCACAGCCTGCTGGCGTCCCAGCCTCAGGCCTCCACAGTCCAGTTCTTGTCTGTCCAAGGGGGTGACTCCTGACTCTTCCTACCTTGCCCACTTAATTTCCCTAAAGTAAAATTAGCATGGAGCAGCCCGTTCCTTGAAGTGGAGATTTTACTTAACACTTGAATAATCCCAATGAAGCCGATAACCACACATCTTTATTGACAGGCGTTTAACCATTTTGCATAATTTAAAAATGCCACTCCAGCCTATCAGCGATGCCGGCGGGAAGGTGGGCCTGGCAGATAACAACGTGCAGGCTGGGGCTGGAGGCTCACACTCCATCGGCCCAGCTGCTCCTCTTGCCCTGATCTCTGTGAGCCAGCTCATGGTCTCAGGATGTACGAAAAAATACTTATTGCATTACTATTGTCAGGTAAGTGGAATTTTTTTTTTTTTTTAGCCCAAGGCATTTATATTGGGTATAAAGTTATAGGTTAAAATGTAAACTATTCTACTTTAGTTCTATCTTATTCAAATGAATAAATAAATGAGTACCATCTCAGATCTGAGTTTGCTAAGGGATGTTATTGGGATTTGGCTGTCAAAGTGGAGGAAATAGCACGGGGGAGCCAGCAACGGTAGCCGGGTCACCATTTTCCAGGGTGAGACACATGCTTTAACTCTCGGCCTCCCTGGAGTAAAAGAATTCTGTCACCTAGTATGAGAACTGTTTCTGTGCAAATAAATTAGTTGCTTTGTTTACATTTTCATGAGGTAAACTTCTAAATCCAAAAGCTGTTAATGAGGACAAGGATAGATACATGATCCTCAGTTTTTGACAATATTATACTTTCCTCCTCCTCCTGTTAGGAGGTGCAAGCCACACGCATGCACTCAGAAACTATAGGGGTCACTCTGTGGGTCCATTACTGAGGTGTGAGGAGGAAGAGGAAAGAACAACTGTCTTGGCTTAGGTATTACTCAGTTTGGGGACAAAACTAAATCAATTTACTAAAATAAAGAAATAATGTAAGGGTATTCTTTTAAATTATCATTATTTTTGGCCTCTTCCCGAGAATGTTATGGTGATCATCTCGAAAGGCAGTATCCTATCCTAAATACTATCCTGTATCCTAAATACAGGACCATGGATCTATCCATGTATCTACCCAGCATGTAGAGGAGAAGCAGTAATTTGAAGTGTATTTAGCCCAACAGACATTTCTTTAACTCAAGTCAGAGCAAGTAGCAGGCGGCTCCGGAGCACCCTGTGGGAGGCAGGGAAGAGAGCCAGCATTTGCTAAGGGACTTCAGGGGGGATGTAGGGGATAGTGTAACAGTTAAAGCGCTGACATGAGGGACAGAGAGAACTGGGTTCAAATCTGGTTCCACATCTGAAAGGTTGGGAAACAACGAAGTCAAATTGCTTACCGCTCTCTGTTTCAACTCTCTCATCTCTGAAATGTATTATAGACAGTGTTGGTAACTGCTCCATAGTAATCACGTGAGGACTTTGAGAAAGTAATCAATGTACTTCCTCCAGTGCCTAACGCATAACACAGCACTAAATAAGTATGTAAGAATGATAATTAATGGCTAGTAAACAAACCTGGCTATGTCATGGTGATTTCGGAGAAGAGGAAAATTACAGGAAAACCAAAGACTAATGAAACTGCTCCAAATGTTTTTAAGAAGCAAAGTATGAAACATTCCTCTTGAAAAAAAAAAAATGGAGGGTACAGGGTGTGATATTCAAATATATTCAAATATTTGTAGAGTTTTACAAGAAGAGAGGAGAGTTTTACAAGAAGAGAGGAGAGGTCATGTGTTGTCCCAGAGGGCCAGGTAGGGCCACTCAATCAAAGTAGACATTACCCTTTCCTTTGCGTGGGTCCCAATATCTGGAAAAACTGTATGCACCTTCGAGCTGCCCCCAGATTGGGAAGGATTCCTGGAGAGGAAATAGTGTCTTCCTGTCTACAGCTACTCAAGCAGACAGTGGATATGCCTTAAATAATACCTCTCAGGAGGTCAGCGAGGCCACATGACCCTTGGCCTTCAGGGCTAGTGCTCTGGCCATCTTTGCATCTTCCGAAGCCCTTCCGGGAAAGTCTCTTACTGTGCCTACTTTACAGAATCATAGAAAGGTACGGAAACAGCCCCCTTTCCTCCCGCCCTTGACTCTAGTTGAAGAGGAAACCTGGGAAATGTGAGGAAGGGTAAACATCATTGGCGAGGGGGAAAGAAATGATGCTTTTGCTTTCTCCAGTCATGGTAAGGCTAAAGCTAGTGTTCCTAGCCTTAAATATCATCTACCTCATCGAGAGTAAGTTTTTTGCTAATGCTTTTCTTTCCAATCATTCCCTCATTTGTTCATTCAGTTGTTCTATGTCAGGCCAGAGGAGTAAGATGAATGAGCTCCCGGGAAGGGTACATTCAGTGAGGGAATTGTGGAAAACAGTAGGAAAGTCCACAGACAATTAACAGAACAAGTAACCTGTTAAAAATAACTGACAAAAAAAAAAGAAGAAAATAATATAATAAAATAATAAAAAAATAACAAAGAAAATCAAACCAGGTTAAGATGATGAACATAACACAGAGGCTGCTTTGGGAATGGGTAGCAGGAAATTTTCTCTAGGAGCTGACATTTGTGCTGAGAGTTGAACAGTGAGAAAAAGCCAACCTTGCAAAATCTGGGGGAAAGGCAGTGAAAGGCAGAGGGGAAGGGCAGTGAAAGGTAAAGTTCTGAGATGGGAGAGAACTCAGTGTGTTCTAGGAAAGGTAAAGCTTTTGTTTGAAAATCAGCTTCCGGTGCTAAGAATTTGAGAATACAGTATTATATCACTTCAACTAGGAAATTATGTCACAAACCAGCACCCTCCAATGTTTCTTGATTTTGTTTTAAAAATCATGCAACATTTGAATTCTAGGTTATAATATACTGATTTAATTGGAAAATCCAAAGGGATAGGTATTATCACACCTGTATTATTCATTGGCATTGCCCCAGAATCTAGCCCAACTCATGATCTGTAGTAGAATATTAATTGAATCAACAAAGGAAGGAAGTAGAGGGAGGGAAGAGAAGGCAAAAAGAGAATATTGTTTTGTTTTGTTTTGTTTTGTTTTTACACAAAATGAGAACTCGGGTAGGTAGACAATGATCACCTGTGCATCTATCTTATTGCTTACACCTGCAAGCACACCCGTGTGAAAGCACGTACTTAGAAGGACAGAGAGAAAGAAGGCAGCTCTTTTTCTTCAGGGACCCAAGAAAAGAGCCTTTCTGACCGCTTAATTTCCAGAGGACAGAGTTCTAAGTTGGGAGTCAGGGGCCACAAGACTTGATGCATTTCTTAAAATTACAACCTGGGTCTTCATTTTTGTATCCCACACATTGCTAGGCACACAGAAGACACTCAATAAGTAATAGTGGCACAAATGACAAATAACCAGAACTTTGCTGCGGGCTACTTTAACTGTGCAAAATCAATGATCCCCTGTGGGCCTCAGTTTCCTTGTGTCTATTAAATAAAGTACAGGATAGATGGCATCTAAAACCCTTTTCATCTCTACACTTCAATGAGTCCTCAAAGGTCAGCCTGAGATGACTAGAGTGTGGTTCTCAAATCTACACATCTCTTTAGCTTGGTGTGAAATTGGGCTTTTGGAAAGAAATAGGCACTTGACTGTGAATTTCTTTGAAGGAGGAATCCTACGAGAGGGGAAAGAATGGGTGGTATCTTGAAATTAACTTATATTGGTTTTAAATTGCAAAATTAGCATACTTGTGATGAACTTCTTTCTAGTTTGGTTTCTAGAGGATTATTGAAAACATCTATGAACCTATTTGAAAAGCATATTTTAAGTAATTTTCCCAACTTGTCCTTATAGGTTATATTTTTACATCAACTGCCGACACCGTAACTCCTACAGAGAAGGCTGTTGAAGATCCAACAGGTGGGTAATAGATTTCTCAAGTTTCAATTTTAAACCTACAAGGGAGTAATAGATTTCCAGCCTTTATCACCATATTCATACATTTAATAAGTACCTATCTGTGTAGTTTCTTATGATAAATAAACTAAACTAAAACTAAAGAAAAAATACTGAAAAGAAACACCACAGGATTATCTCTGGGTGTGGGGAATGTTTTGGGGTGGGTTTTTTTTTTCCTGCTTTTTAATACTTTCTAAATTTTCTGCCAAGAGAATCATAATTTGTAATCAGGAGAAGTTTAAAATATTTTTACAAGTGGACTGAACAAATACAATCTCTGCTTCCTAAGAAATCTCCTTCTTAAAAAGAATGCCAACAAACTTTAGTGGAGGAAAACCAAGATACCAGCATTCATTTCATCATGGTTTGCTACTACTCAAACACTGGGTTATGGTGTATGCTGAAACTGATTTAGGGATTTGGTAGAGAAAAGAGCAACAAGTGATGGTGAACATGTGATAACCCATCATTAATAAGTATCCCATCATCTAGTTTATTTGTTTGTTTGTTTAATATATTTTATTGATTTTTTTACAGAGAGGAAGAGAGAGGGATAGAGAGTTAGAAACATCAATGAGAGAGAAACATCAATCAGCTGCCCATAACCAAGGTACATGCCCTTGACCTGAATCAAACCTGGGACCTTTCAGTGCACAGGCTGACACTCTATCCACTGAGCCAAATCGGTTTGGCCCATCTCCTGTTTTTTCATATGGCTTGTTCTTGATATGATTCCCCAAACCCCAAAGACCATGCTTCAGTAGCTAAGAATATCGGGAAAATGGCCACATATAGGAAGGACCTTGGCTCACTTCATTTACTGGGAAACTTCTATCACATTGTGGGAGTCAGGCAGTGTTCAAGCCCATCCTTCTCTCAGAAAAGTAAATGAGCTCAAAAGCATTGTAAGCCCCAAAGCATTAAACTTTGTGGTAGTTCTTCTCTCAGAATCTACCTTATTGCTTACACCTGCAAGCACACCCGTGTGATTGCAGGTGTAAGCAATGAGAGGGCACAGAGCAGGAGGAGAGGTCTGACCCTCATGGCCTGGAGGACCTGGTCCCCTTAACATTTTTAGGTCAGACTCCAACTCAGCAGTTTGCTTTAAAGGTCCAAAACAAAAGGGTCTGGGTTTCTCTCCACTGAGGCGGGCATAAATCCACAGAGGTGTTCTTAAATTGAATCAATGAATTAAATAGAACAAGAAAAACAAATGCTCCTGCCTCGGGGAAGTGAAGTTTAGGTCCTTAGTAGTAAATAAAAATGAGTCAGATTAAAGATGGTCTGCTGAGTTTCTTCCAGTCCAATCTGAAAGGAGACCTCTTGCCCTAGCTGGTTTGACTCAGTGGATAGAACTTTGGCCTGCAGACTGAAGGGTCCCGGAGGCGGGAGGGGAAGGAGGGGTGTCAAATCTGGTCAAGGGCACCTGCCTGGGTTGCAGGCTCAATCCCCAGTAGGGGGCAGCTGATCAATAGAAACAGCTCTCATCATTGATGTTTCTATTTCTCTCTCCCTTTCTCTCTGAAATCAATAAAAAGTTGAATATGAAGCATGAACAGCCTATGTAATTAAAAGCATGACAGAGGTTAAGTAAACCATGGTTTATGCAGTAAATGTAACATTATGAAGCCATTAAAATGTTTTACAAGTGTTTTCCCTAATATGGACAAAAGTGCTCTTTGAATGAGGAAAAGGCAGGTTTCAGAATATTACACAGAGTAATTTTTAAGTATATATTTATAAACATATCTAGAAAAAGTATCTGAAAGATTTGCACAAAAATGTCAACAGTGCAGATTTCTAGAGAACAGAGCGGGGGATGGATTGTTATCCTCTCTTGGGGAAGGAAGTAAAAATGTTGGTTAAGGATGAGGACTCTACAGTCAAACCTCCTGGGTTTGCATCTAGCTTCACTGCCCACAGACTGTATTTTTAAATTTTGTGACTCTCTGTTTTTCTGTCTGTGCAATGGGGATAATACCTACTCCATATTGAAGTTGTCTAGGTAAAGGGCTTGGCATGGTGCCTGGTACATAGAAAATATTCAGTAAAAACTATTAACATCATCAAATTCTCATTTTTCTTTAATGAAGATGTGAAAACAAAATATATGCCATGACCCTCTCTTTACGTTTGGTTTTTTGGAAGTACAGAACTCCTTTTCTCTGTCACTGGATAAGTGTTGGTATCACTGGATTCACAGTGCCTAAGGACATGGGTGGCACAAAGGTAAAGTGGAAAATCTGTAATTGGAATGGAAACCGCCATAAGTTACGGTTACAGGAGATGAAGAGTACAAAGGCTGAATGTGACCCATAAAGAGCTCTTCTTTCTTTTCCTTTTTGTTTTAGTATGTTTTTATTGATTTCAGATGGGAAGGGAGAGGGAGAGAGATAGAAACATCAATGATGAGAGAGAATCATTGGTCAGCTACCTCCTGCACGCCCCCTGCTGCAAATCGAAGCTGCAACCCAGCCATGTGCTCTAAACCATGACCTCCTGATTCATAGGTCAATGCTCATCCACTGAGCCATGCTTGCCAGGCCAGGAACACTTTTTAAGCTTCTGTTTCCTTTCTTTAGGAATGTCTGTTAATCCTATTAGCTTCTCTTCATATGAATGTATTTTTATTCTTTAATATGTTGAAATTATGATTCATATCAATGAACATTATAATATTGCACTACTTCCATCTTGGCATAAACCACTAGGCTATTGTAGAATATTCTTTTAATAGTGTACTGCATTTAATATTTGTATTAAGATCTTTATGTCTATATTTGTGATACATAAAATTTTTCTGCAATTTATTTGTGTGTATATACAGTACATACGTATTGGCTATCAAAAAGCTAAATAAATTTTTGCCCATTTTATTTTTAAAATTTATAAATCACTACTAATGTGAATTTTAAGCGTGGAAGATATTTTGAAGAAGTAGCCATCTATTTCAATTATAGTAGAAGAGATGTTTAAAAAAAAAAAAAAGAATAAGTGCAAAAACCCTAGCCAATTTGGCTCAATGCATAGAATGTTTCAGGTGATTGAAGATTTGATTCTGGTGAAAGGCATGTACCTTGGTTGAAGTTCTTGGGCCCTGGTCAGGGTGCATGCAGGAGGCAACCAATCAATGTGTCTCTCTCACGTTGATGTTTCTCTCTGTCTCTCCCTCTCCCTTGTACTCTCTCTGAAAAAAAGTCAATGAAAAAAATATCCTTGGGTGAGGATTAATCAAATAATAATAACAATAACTATAGAATAGGTAAAAAGAATATTTTCTATGTGTACACATGAATATGATACACTATATTATTATATTTCTTTTCCCAAAATTTTTATTTGAAAATATTTTAAAGCCATGGAGAAAAGTCAACAAAGGCTAAGTTCAAATGTTATCACACCAAACACTTAATCTATTATAAAGTTCAATTGTTCTGAATTTTAAGTGGCTATCGTAGCTTAATAAAACCCTTCTAAAAATGCAAACTGAATGACAGCAGACAGATGGACATATGATTTTATTATCCCATCTTGACCTAGCCTGACTTTTTCAGCCTTTAGTTCAACAGCAAAACTGAATGTTTCCCTTAAAATATTACTTCACAGCAATAGCCTTCTCCAAACACTATCTAGAACAGGCAAGATCCCCATTCATACATGCATTTGGTATAACGCCGCATGGTTCAGCAGGAAAAAAAGCATTGATTGAAAATCAGCAGGTGTGAGTTTTTGCCCAAGTGCAGAACTTCCACAAATAAATTGATCAGATTTCATGGTCATCACAATGCCCAAAACTATAACACTCCAAACATTTAGTTTTCTGACTTGGAAACTATTTAAGGCAAATATTTCATAGGCAGGGTGTATCCTTGTAAGAGTTTGCTTTTGCAAGATAACACTTTTATCAACTGCAAGTCAGGAGGGAACCAAAACCACGCCAGCGGCTGCGTGAGCTGACTTATCACGTTGTGGCAGGAGCCCAGCTCCTGGCACAGAGCAGACCTGCAGGGTTCTCGCCCAGCATTTCCTTTTACTGTGGTTCTTTCTAATAACGGTCCATGTCAGAAGTGCCCCCTGCTGGGGAAAGCCGGGTGGGTTTCGTGGGTAGAGCACAGAGTAGAATGGTGGGAGGCTAGCCTTCTAGTCCCAATTGTATCCCATGTGTTCTGGGCCCCCAAGTTGCCCAACCTCCCGGGTGCAAGTGGAGCGGTGGCAGGGCCCTCCCCCGACACACCGACCTCTCAGGTCAGAATCTTGCTGAGCAACTGGGAGGTCAGGGCGGTGGAGATGAGAGGAAAGAGGTGAATGTTTTGGAACAAATTAAATGTTATGCAGATGTAAACTGTAAACCATGCACATTTGGAATATTTCCTATTCTGGATGGTGTAGTCATTCATTCCTCCATTTGGTCATTCATTCATCACACCCTTCTCAAACTTAAAATTTTGGCATTCAGTTCAGGTCACAAATAAGTGCTTTGTGCAAAGCACCATAGCAAATGGCATTTTATTTTAAAAATATATTTTATTGATTTTTTTATAGAGAGGAAGAGAGAGGGATAGAAAGTCAGAAACATCAATGAGAGAGAATCATCGATCAACTGCCTCTTGCACACCCCCCACTGGGGATGTGCCCGCAACCAAGTACATGCCCTTGACCGGAATCGAACCCGGAACCTTTCAATCCTCAGGCCGACACTCTATCCCCTGAGCCAAACCGGTTTCGGCAGCAAATGGCATTTTAGTGTCTAGGGAATGAAAAAGGGATTTTTAAACTAGAGGTCTGAGGCCTTGCCAAAACTTCCCTATTATCTTAATTTACACTAATTTTCCAGGTGAACATCAAACTCTTGTCAACCTGAGAGGTTTGCCTACCTTTGTCTGCACACTCCCCGCTGGCCTCTGCATGAATGCGCACATCCTCTCCTTTCTCCCTGTTAAACCCAGGCCCTTTCTTTACCTCAAATCCCACTCCTCCGCTTTTCCACTAAAAACTCTACCCTCCCTTCAAGGTGCAGCCAGTGCTTCATTGCAAATAGGATAGAGTCAGTATTCAGAGCCCAGAGCAGCTGAGGAAATATGCAGTGCTGTCCCACAGTCCACCCGGTGTGGGTAGACAGATGCTGGACCCTTCTTCCATCATACCTCAAGGTCAACATACCTTTCCTGGAGAGAGGGGTAGCATTTTTCAGGTATAGAATGGCTATGTCCTTGTTAGAAGGGGTGAAGGGAGTAAGAAAACGACCCACATGTCAATAGTGCTAGGGCAGAAAACAGTTTCAGTAGCAAGAGGACACTGAGGGCTAAGAGCTGTGATGTAAATAGCACAATAAATTGGTGTGAAAAGTCATCAACATGAAAACTACCTAATTATTATTAGAATTCTGGAACCTCTTAAGGAATTTACTTGTCTTGTTTTGTTTACAACACACCCCAGTGCTCACCAATTTAAATGTAAGCTAAAACATCAAAGGAAGCTTGCTGACAAGATCTCCATCAGGCAAAGACCCGGGAGGTGGGAATAACGTTGGGAGCCAGCAGAATTAGGGCTCTGTTTCTGTCCTTACCAGCTATGTTAACCTGAGCTAATCATTTAATTTTGATGATATCAAATTTCTTATTTGCACAATAAAGAAGTTGGATTTAAAGTTCCAAGTGTCCTTGTAATGTAAAACATGAAAGTGCATTGTGAATAAAATAGGACAATATTTAAATTGACCTATAATCTGAAAACAGTGCAAACAGACAGTGAAAGCTGATCTAGCTACAGAAAGCTAGGGCTCAGAGCACAGGGGAGGGAGAGAGAGAGAGAGAGAGAGAGAGAGAGAGAGAGAGAGAGAGAGAGAGAGAGAGGATTCGGCAAACCGCACCTGTTGTTTAATGGTTACAAGTTTACTTGGATCTTTTCTACCAAGTAGACCCAACTAAAGAGTCCATTGTAAAAAAGCCCTGTTTAAAATCCACTTATTCAAGAGAAATTTCACAACTTTGCATAACTATACCCACAGATGTCTATGAGCTGATTAGGGTCTGAGAAACCTGGGAGGCCCAGATGGCCGTGAGGGCTCTGGCTATGAAAGGCAGTGTTAGAACACTCTTGGTGGTTGCTGGGGGTACGTACTGTGGAATTTTCATTTCCTTACCTTGACATTTGAAAGCAGCTTCAGTCCCTGAGGATGTAGAAAGAAAGAAAGGAAGGGTGAGTAAGGAACCTTAGAGCTGATTTACCTCCTGTGCGGCCAGAGAAAATTGAATTTAAAGTCTTTGTTTTAATTTTTTTGAGGAAATAGGACTGTTTCTGGAAAAATGGAGTGAGGGAGGCACGGAACATAGACAATGTCCCCCAGTTATGTAAAATGCTATGCATGTGGGAGAGACATGGGATAGATTTGTCTTTTGTGATGTGCTCTGTGCTCTACGCCATCACCTCACTCTTAATGCCTTTCTCAACGCCTGTTTTATACAGGTGAGTCTCCCTTAGTGTCCGCATCAGCAAATGACCCTACTCCTGCTAATGCAAGAACAGTGGAAATCCCTAGAGATGAACCCGGCACAACAGGTTTGTCCATATTTTTAAATAGTTGCCCTGGAGTCATTGTTATGACACAACAGTATTTCATGGGACCTGTCAGTGCAAGGAAACTGTGACAAAGTCTAAGAAACGAAAGCTAATAAATAAACACACTCCCTATACTTCCAAAGGGCCTCACTTCTGGAATATCTCACAGAAACAATATATTGGGTTAAAGGCATGAAGCAATCCAACAAAAGCATGTGACTGTGAAATGGGGCCACATGGAGGGAGCACAGATGCGGTGGGGAGGAGGGATGTGGTGAATCCGGGTGCGGCTCAGCTATCCAGGCTGCTGACCCAGGGAGATGCTTCCCCAAGGGGTCTCTGTCCCCTACATTTTTTAATGGGGCCCATCATAGTCGTCTCGTGGTGTTTCTCTAAAGATGAAGATGTGTGTAAAATGGCTCAGCTTGGAGCCTGACACATTAAAGTGCCTCACTGCTATCACTATAAGCCAAGCTGGGCGCTGAGATAAGGGTGGTCTGGCGGCATCCCCTCCCTGTGACCTCTCTGGGGAGAAGATGACTTGACAAGAGCAGGTTGAATGAAAGAGGGTCCTTGTAGATGGGGGTCAAAGCAGGACACTCCAGATTTAAAATAAGGCCCCAAAGAAGACTTAAAGTGCCTACAGGATCATTGGCTAATAGTATCATTGAGAAAATATACCAAGATAAATGGAAGCAACACATTTTAACAAAGACCAAGAGAGGAAAATTATGCTAAGTGCTTGGAACTAATTATCGGGCTTCTGAGTCCAATTAAACAGCCCAGTTTTCGAACGTGAAGTCAATGTGGTGGTGTCAAATCAGAAAACATTTAAAGGCCAACTGCAGACACACACACTTCCTGCCGTGAATCCTCTAAACAACAGGTAGCACGGTGGGCATTGTGCTAAGAGTTTTCATGCACTACCTCATTCGATCCTTGTAGGAACCCAAAGAGATAGGTATTACCGTCTTCATTTGCTCAAGAGGAAACTAAGGCACAAAGAGATTACATAACAGATCCAAGGCCGCCCAGATAGTGAGAGGCTGAAACCCCATCTGTTCTCCTCCACAGCTCATCCACCAACCACAGCTGTACCTGCCACAGAGAAGAAGACAAGCCCCAGTAAACCTTTATAAATGACTTCTCCAGAATGAGCGGACATAACCGAGACCTGGGCAATGTGGAGTAATACACTGCAATACGCTGAGTGGCCAGATTTTTATGATCTGTGAACACACAATAATCTGGCCACTCAGTGTGTGTGTGTGTGTGTGTGTATGTGTGTGTGTGTATGTGTGTGTGTGTGTGTGTAGATATATACCCTCTGTGTGTGTGTGTGTGTGTGTGTAGATATATACCCTCTGTGTGTGTGTGTGTGTGTGTGTGTGTAGATATATACCCTCTGTGTGTGTGTGTGTGTGTGTGTGTGTGTATGCCCTCTAGTGTGTGTATGTATATACACACACATACATACCAGGGTCCCTAGGCCTGGCAGATGATCAGGGCTGATCTGTGGGGCTACTGTCAGGACAATCAGGGCGCCCCCGCTGGCACATGCCTTGGCTAGCCTGGTGCTGCCCACTTGTTGGCCCCAGCCCCCTACCACTGCCAGTCACCTCCCTCTGCAGGGCAACTGGTGGGGAGACTGGGGGCCCTCCCGCTGGCACCTGCCTTGACTGGCCTAGGGCCTAAGGGCTGAGAGCTGCTCCTGCATTGAGCATCTGCCCCCTGGTGTTCAGTGAACATCATAGCAACTGGTCATTCTGATGTTCAGACATTTAAATATTAGGCTTTTATTTTATAGGATATATGCATGCTAGAGGCCTGGTGCATGAAATTCAACACAAGGGAGGGGGTGTTGCTCAGCTCAGCCTGCACCCTCTCTCCAATCTGGGACCCCTCGAGGGATGTCCGACTGCCGGTTTAGGCCTAATCCCAAAACAAGCAGTCGGACAGCCCTCTCACAATCCAGGACTGCTGGCTCCCAACTGCTCGCCTTCCTGCCTTTCTGATTGCCCCTAACCACTTCTGCCTGCCAGCCTGATCACCTCCTAACCAGTCCCCTGCCAACCTGATTGATGCCCAACTGCTCCCCTGCCAGTCTGATTGTCCCTAACTGCCTTTCTCTGCAGGCGTGGTCACCCCTAACTGCCCTCCCCTGCAGGCCTAGTCCCCCCCCCCCCAACTGGCATTCCCTGCAGGCCAGTCACCCCCAACTTCTCTCCCTTGCTGGCCTAATCACCCCTAACTGTACCCCTCCCTGCAGGCGTGATCACCCCCAACTGCCTTCCCTTGCAGGCCTGGTCCCTCCCAACTGCCCTCCCCTGCTGACCATCTCTGGTGGCCATCTTGTGTCCACATGGGGGCAAGATCTTTGACCACATGGGGGCAGCCATCTTGTATGTTGGAGTGATGATCAATCTGCATATTACTCTTTTATTCAATAGGATAGAGGCCTGGTGCTTGGGTGGGGTCTAGCTGGTTTGCCCTGAAAGGTGTCCCGGATCAGGATGGGGATTCTCTTGGGGATGGGACAGCCTGGGCGAGGGGCCTGTGGTGGTTTGCAGGCCAACCACACCCCCCGACAACCCAAGCAGAAGCCCTGTTATCTGGGATTTATTTATCTTCTATAATTGAAACTTTGTAGCCTGGAGTAGAGGCCAAGCCAGCCCAGGCTGGACAGGAAGCTTGGCTTCCTACATCGCTGGGGGCAACCCAAGACTCCTGCTCTCTCCAGCTCCATGGCTAACACCATTTTTGTTGGGATTTATTTATTTTCTATAATTGAAACTTTGTTGCCTTGAGTGGAGACCAGGACAGGCCAGGGCAGGAAGCTTGGCTTCTTCCATTGCCTGGGTAACCCAAGCCTCCTGCTCCCTTTGTGGCTTCAGACATCTTGGTTAGGTTAATTTGCATACTTGCTCCTGGTGGCTGGTGGGTATAGCAGAGGTATGGTCAATTTGCATGTTTCTCTTTTATTAGTGTAGATATTTGAGACCCAATGGATTCATCCATGGGTGGGGTCTGGCCAGCCTGGCCAGGGGGAGGTGACATGGATGGTTGGCCAGCTTGCCTGCTGATCAAACTCCTGGTCGAGGGGACAATTTGCATATTAGCCTTTATTATATAGAATTATATAGGAAATACACTGAGTGGCCAGATTATTGTGCATTCAGAGGTCATAATAATCTGGCCCCTCAGTGTGTGTTATCGGTAATAACTAAATGCAGGAAAATAGTTTGGTTGAAGTAGGAAGAGGGCTTTGTGATAAAATGGCACGTGGAGACGGCAGAAAAAGAAATGTGGACTGTGGACTGATAAGGGGGAGGTAACAGGCGAAGACGTACTGGGAACTTCTGCAGACAAAGCATTTAGGGGGATGTTGACAAAAGCTCAGAGGAGACCCAACAGGGGTTTGGATTCAGCTAGTGACTGTGGCATAAATTTGGAAAATTGATAGCAATGTGACCTCTTTTGGGTTCAACTGAAGTTCATGTGGGGTGATAGCTCAATGCACCTCCTTTCTGTTCACCATTTTTACATTTGAAATAATCTTTTTTTTAGTATATTATCTTTACATTCTTTTTATCCTCACCTAAGGACATGGTTTTATTGATTTGAGAGAGAAAACATGAATCAGTTGCCTCTCATTCAAGTCCCATTTGGGAATGACACCCGTCACCTTTTGGCTTACGGGACGACCAACTGAGCCACCTGGTCATGGCTATTTTTACTTTTTTATTTTTAATTCACTATTTCTTGCGGAACTCAATAGATAGTTTTTTCAATATTTTGTAATACCCTACACTTCAGTCAATAAGACCGCTTGCTAATTTCTGACTTGAAAGCTTGTTGGGTAGTTGAAAGTAGATATGGAATTATTAATAGTAAGACATATCTCATAAGTTTTAGCAGCAGTTAAAATTTGAACAATAGCTCACTAACATAATTTTTAAAAAAGAAACACACTAAGTAATCTAATTCCAAAATGGTATTTTTTAGATGTGGTAACTTATGCATTCTGATTTATTTTTAAATTTTGTCTTTTTAGGAGCAAGAAGACAACTTCAGCACATGTTCTCAGAACCAGGTATGTTAATATTTACATGGACTAACAATCTTTTCAGTTTAATTATGTATTCCTAGTTCCAAATGCCTAAAAAAAATAAGAAGCGTCAAATTTAAAAACAAAAGCATATGTTATTAATTTTAATCACACAATATTGTAAAGGCAAACAATATATGCTTTTTTAAAAATTAAAATAGTCATTTCTTATTTTCTTAAATATTTTGGAACAAGCAATACATAACTTGATAATATTTTCTCTCTCTCTCTCTCTCTCTCTCTATATATATATATATATATATATATATATATATATATATATATTTCAGAGAGGAAGAGAAAGGGAGAGAATCATTGATCAGCTGCCTCATGCATACCCTAGAGGGGATTGAGCCCACAACCCAGACATATGCCCTTGATCAGAATCAAACACAGGACCGATGCTCTATCCACTGAGCAAACTGGCTAGGGCAACAATAATTTTTATTTTAAGTTAGACTTTTTTAGTTTTCTAACCACCATAGTTACTAGAGAAAAGTCTCTTAAGAGATCATAAAACAATTGAACTTCTCTTATCCCTACCATGAAGAAAGCAAAGAGTTTTAAGTCATCTCATTAATTGATCCCTTATCAAAAATAAATACAGACCATTCATGTCTCAATCTCTATTCATTTTTGGCCCTATGCTACCATTTTGGGGCTGTCTTCCAAATCCTCTATACCTGGGGACTGTCACTTTCTCTCTTAGATGCTGCTGTAGATCTCACATTAGTCATTTATGTGCTGATTTACTAGTCTGCATTTCTGAGCTGCCCTTCACGCTTGACCTGTGTCCAAACCTCTCTCTCTCTCTCTCTCTCTCTCTCTCTCTCTCTCTCTCTCTCTCTCTCTCTCTCTTTCTCTCTCTCTCTCTCTCTCTCTCTCTCTCTCTCTCTCTCTCTCTCTCTCTCTCTCTCACACACACACACACAGTGTAAATTAGCCAAATAAATAAGCCATTTACCTATATGTTTTGCCTTCTATTTATTTAATTTGGAATCTCTACAAATATGCTATGAATATGTGAGAGTATCACTAATATAAACTTTGTTTTCTTCCCCACATGTAAGATTTGGGGGAAAAATCTTTTTAGTGAGTATATTATAGAGTATGCATACGGATAATGTAGAAGGACCAGAAGCTTAGAATCTAGGTGACCTAAATTATGGTCATGTAACTTCTAACTAGTTGTCTCACCTAGGATAAGTAACTTAAACTTACTGGGCTTCTTCTCTTCATTTGCAAACTGCTTATACCAGTTTCCTTCCAAAGTTCTGATTCTATGATCTGTCCAATACCCCGTTCTATGTCAAGACATTATTTTCTCTCGTCACTTTGATCTTAAGAAACACTTCACGATTTTTCCCATATCGGGGCAGACCATCCACAGAGCTGCCATCCATGGCCGCCTGTAAGGCCCTGTGAAGAACCCTGAATTTGGAGTTGGAACCTGGGGTCTTGGTTTCGTCAGATGTGTGACCTTGAACAAAAGACTTTACTATCCACAGGTTCAGTTTCTCATGTGGTTACTTTGGAAACCTTGTTTTTTAAAAGATAAACTATATTAATGTTCTTTTTTTGTTGTTTGTTTGTTGCTTAAAATATTATAAAGAGTAGTACAGCTGAAACCGGTTTGGCGCAGTGGATAGAGCGTCAGGCTGTGGACTGAAAGGTCCTGGGTTCGATTCTGGTTGCCGGCACATCCCCAGTGGGGGGTGTGCAAGAGGCAGCTGATCGATGATTCTCTCTCATCGATGTTTCTAATTCTCTATCCCTCTCTCTTTCTCTCTGTAAAAAATAAATAAAATATGTAATTTTTTTTAAAAAGGAGTAGTACATATGTCTCTTTTTTTCCCCATTGACCTTTCCCCAGCTGTCTTATTTTTTGAAAGATAAAGTATATTAATGTTTCTTTCATTGATATGCAGTCATTTATGTAACAGTTTTGTAATTTTCTGCTCTCTTTTTCTCCCATAGTGATAATAGTCATTATTTTGGGGGTGTTGGCTGGTATCATTGGAATTATACTCCTTTTTGCTTACGTTATTGGCAAGCTAACTAAGGTGAGAATTTGGTTTGGTTTTTGTTTTGTTTTCAATCCTTTCCTGAGGCTATTGGGGATTTTTTGGTTTATTGGTTTAGAGAGAAGGAGAGGGAGAAGGAGAGGAAGGAGAGAGAAATACCGACGTGAGAAGCAAACATCGGTTGGCCACCTCCCAAAGGCCTGACTGGGGATCGGACACACAACACACCAATTGGTTTGGAGCATTGTCCAGTACAACAAAAGGGGGGTTCCCAGTCAGAGCACCTATCCAGGTTTCAAGTTCAATCCCCAGTCGGGACACCTGTGGGAGGTGACTGATTAATGCTCTCTCTCTCTCTCTCTCTCTCTCTCTCTCTCTCTAGTCTCTCTATCTCTCTACTCTTCCTCTCTGTATAATCAATTTTTTAAATAATAAATAAAATTTTAAAAGGTTTGTTTAATGGGGTAACAACACTGCAATGGGGAAGCTATAGCAAGATTGATGGTAAATCTACATTAAATTCCTTTGCCCTTTTCTTTTTTAAACTACTTCTTTTATGTGACTTAATCACCTAAAGTTATGCCTTATTGTCATTACTCCATGTAAATGGATCTTCTCTAAATAACACTTTCTTAACAAAAGTAAATTAAAGGAGTGTTTGACTAATATAAGTGAAGACTTGAATACAGGCAGTCTTCTTGTCTGCAAAATAAATATATTAAAAAAGATTTTCTTTTTGTGTTTGAGCATATATGACAAAGTATGTTTTTGTCTTTTCTTAGTTGATGATCTAAAATCTGAAAAAGTCAATGAAATGCCTAGTTGACAAAATTCAGAGAAAATCTTCTACATGAGTATAGTAGAATTGATCAGTATGTCTATAAAAAAATAATCCATTTTAGCTTTTTATTAAAAAATAATCCATTTTAGCTTTTTATTAAAGCAGGGAAATAAGACAGTCAATGTTTGAAGTAATAATTCAGCTATGAAAATGACAAATAGTATTTTACTATTTAGAAGTATAAATACAAGTTTATAAAAGTTCATAAGTATCTATGAAATAATGACCTTTCTAAAAAGAAGGGGTGGGAAAAGGACTCTACAAAGTGATTTACAAAGAGAACAACTTTAGCCAAAAAAAATTTTTTCATCTGAGATATTTTTCTTTATAGTGTCTTAAGTTTAGAAAATTTTGACATTAATATTTTTCTGCCTTTTACTTATAGAAACGTTCGCTTAATGTGCAGTCCACATTCTCACATGACGCAGATGATCCTTTAAGTTCTGTAGAAACGGGAAATCCAGGTTAGTGTTACTATCCTTATTGCCTATTGCCTTCTGCCTTTGGGGAAGGGAAATAAATTAATGAATTACATCTTTCTGATTTGGGAAGGGTGTGCCCAACTGGAATTCATTTATATTCTACTAGAGGCCTGGTGCACAAAATTCGTGCACAGGAGGAGGAAGGTTGTCTCTCAGCTCTGCCTGTGCCCTCTTGCAATCCAGGACCCCTCAGATAGGGTTCCTAGGCATGGCCGGGAATCAGGGCCTATCCTTCTCCTGGCTGCCACTGCTTGCCATCTGTGCAGCACTGCCCTCCCCGTGCCCCCCACACACACACTGGTCACCTCTCTCTGTAAGCGACAGGCATGGGGTAAGATCACTTGGCTGGCCGGGCCTCCCTCTGTGGAACAATCGATTGTGGGGCCCCCAGATCAATGGCTCCACAGAGAAAGGCCCCACTCACCCAATCGGGGCTCCACAATCCATTGCTGTGCAGAGGGTGGCCTGGGCCTCTCTCTTTGGGGTGATCATGAAGCCACTCCCCCCCCTCGCCCCCAGTCGATTGCCCCGCCGGCCAGTGACCTGGGCCTCAATCGCGAGCCTCAGCCAGTGGTCAGGGCCTTCCTCTGCTGGGTGATAGGCTGTGGAGAGAGAGAGAGAAAGAAAGAGAAACATTAATGTGAGAGAGAGACATCAATTGGTTGCCTTCCGAGCAGGCCCCTACCAGGGCTGGAGAACCTGCAACTGAGCATGCCCTTGACCGGAAATCAACCCCTTGAGCATTCAGTCCAATGCTCTTACTATTGAGCAAGACTAGACAAAGCATAAAGGATCTTTTTTTTTTTTTTTTTTTTTTTTTTTTTTTTTTTTTTTTAAGAAAAGCAACACAAATACTGTAAGTCAAGCATGTCAAATTCACAGCCAGCGGGCCACAAGGTTGACATGCTTGCTGTATGTAACGCAAAAACAAAACTCTTTAGTGCACTTATTTCCCAAACTATGAAGTTATGTCAAGGAGCCCCTGATCTGAAGCCACACCTGAATTTGAGTCCATATTTCAACACTTAAAACCTTGAGCAAGCTACTCATGTGGAGATGATAGTCAACACAAAGATAATTTAATAGGGACATAATGATAGTGTCAATCACGTAGAGTTTCATGAGGAATACATGAGCTACAGCATCTAGAACAGTTCATGGCCATAGTTTCCATTTCAGTTGCAAAGTAAATACACAACATGTGGAGAACTCTGGGTACAGTTTGTCTATCCCTCTCCCTTCCTCTCTGTAAAAAAATCAATAAAATATGTTTTTAAAAAAGACATTTAAAAAAAAAAGTGGGAGATTTTTACATTAAAGAACACCCAGATGGTGGTACTCCCTTACAGAGAACATGAGAGCAATTCATAAGAGCTGAACAGTGGCTGCTGTCTCAAATATTTATTAAAATATCAACTCAGTTTCATGTATTTCATTCATAGTGGCCTCTTAGATAACCTTACTAATTAAATATCTAGTGCCTATTAAACTTTGCCTGAAGCATAAACCCAAATGGCATCTATTTTGAGAGATGTCCACCAAGATCAAGTCTCTGTGAAATGGGCTTCAGTGTTCAAAGGAAAGGATCTAATTCTGCAACGATGGAAGATTTTCCTATGATTATCATACATCATGGCATAACCAAGGTTCTGTAAATGTTCAGCTTTTAGTTTTAACCCTGGACCAAGTCCCTGCCTTCAAAGGACTCACTAGGTTTTCTAGACTTTGGAAATCATAAAAATAAAAATGTTTTTTATTGACTTCAGAGAGGAATGGAGAGAGAGAGAGAGAGAGAGAGAGAGAGAGAGAGAGAGAGAGAGAGAGAGAGAGAGAAACAGCAATGATAAGAGAGAATTGTTGCCAAAACTGGTTTGGCTCAGTGGATAGAAAGCATCAGCCTGGGGACTGAAAGGTCCCAGGTTCGATTCCGGTCAATGGCATATACCTTGGTTGCGGGCACATCCCCAGTAGGGGGTATGCAAGAGGCAGCTGATCGATGATTCTCTCTCATCGATGTTTCTAACTCTCTATCTCTCTCTCTTCCTCTCTGTAAAAAATCAATTAAAGAGAGAGAGAGAGAGAGAATTGTTGATTGGCTACCTCCTTTACACCTCCCATTGGGAATCGAACCCGAAATCTGAGCATTTGCCCTGACCAGGAATCGAACCACAACCTCCTGGTTCATAGGTTGATGATCAACCAGCAGGGCTCACCTTAACTTTCTGAAGTTACACATATGTAATTCAACTTACTTATCACTTACTGCCTTCCCACGATATTCTGCCCCTGCACAAGTTCTATATGTTAATTTATCATCTCTGTAGAAACTAGGAGCAGAGCAATTATGTTTGTTTCTTACCTAAAGCATTTAGGATAGATTTTCTAAGAAATTCTGTATCTTTGCACATAACTCTAGTAAATCTAGTCTGAAGGGAAATTTCTTTCATTTCCCAACAATTATATGTAAGAACAACACTAAGAATGTAGAATTCTGAAATTTCTTTTATGAATTAATTTTCTGTGGTATTTAAATATAACTATGTCTTATACTATTTTTCCCCTTTTATAATTCTTCTACAGAAATATAATCAATGAGAATCTGCTCACCAAGCCAAATTATGGAAGAACTAAAAGACATGAGACTTCAGTCAAGTGAAAAGTTAACATGTAATCTGAACAATAAATTGTATACATTCCTAAATTGTACAATTTCAGAATGAAAAGTCCATCATAAAGAGCCCTTTGACTCAATGATGGAAAATGCCTGTACTTGTTAATATTTCATAATGAAGAACAAATAGTTTCTTTCAAGTAGTTGCTTTTGTGTGTTAACATAATTTTTATAGTTAATTGACTTGGAATTCTCTTCTATTGTATTTTAATAATTGTGCTATCAAATGAAAGGCTTATAATATTATAGGTAAAATCTAAGTTCTTTTTGCATTCTAAACTTCTGAATCTATTTTCATTTTAAATAAAATCCTACAATTTCCTTCATTACTGAACAAGCAAGATATGCTAATGCACTAATGGTGATGATATTTTTAGTCACAATAATAAAGTGTGTACTTGGAAATAAATGCCTTGCATACATATATACATATATACATAAAGACACATGTGTGCACAGGCATAGACATCGACATAGATGTATAAAATGACACTTACATTCATTCTTTAATGCATAAATCAATACAAAAAGTTTTTCCCCTAAAAAAGTGAAATGTTACATATATATAAACTTACATTCATTCTTTAATGCATAAATCAATACAAAAAGTTTTTCCCCTAAAAAAGTGAAATGTTACATATATATAAACTCGTTTAAATTTTTCTGATGTTACAGCGTTAACCTCTCCAGGCCATTCTATAATATGATGCATTCATTGTGTTCCCCTGGAAGAGTTACTAGTGCTTATGTAAATGGGTCAGAGAATCTTGAGAAAGAAAAGAATCCATGACTTCTTCTTGCAAAAGAAACTTAACTCTGTAAATGCAACAAGATGTGTGAATTTGACATGCAGGTGAATATTTCAATAGGTTGCTGTTGCATTCTTTTTCAGTGTTCCCAGTTAAATTCTTTAATCCATCCAGACCTAGGTTTTCTAATTAAGAAGGTTTTGAAACTTGTTTTAAATAATTTAAAAGAAATTTCTAGATGTGAGACTAAGGCTTTGTGCCTACACAGCTATCACTCATTTATAATGAAACATAAATAGCAGTATTAAAAAAATAATAATAATTACCTTCCTGTGACTTTCTACTTCCACATTAGTAAAAATCCATGTGGCTTTCCATTGCTGCATGATAGATAATAAGTGAGGAACATTATGTACATTTCTGGCCTGCTGACTTAAAATTATTTTTTTAATAAATTAAAAAAATTTAATCTTAACCTGCTTGTATGTTCAGAGAATGTTCTTATACTAAGTTGTCTTTTTAAAATAAAGAATAAAAACAGCACAATTCTGTTGGTATATAAGCACCAAACACCAAGACAATGTACTATTTTAAATGTACGTTTTTCACCCTAACTGGTTTAGCTCAGTGCATAGAGTGTCTGCCTGCTGATTAATGAAAGGGTCCCAGGTTTGATTCTGGTCAAAGGTATGTACCTTGGTTGTAGGCACATCCCCAGTAGGAATTGTGTAGGAGGCAGCTGATCAGTGTACCAATGTGTCTAACTATCCCTCTCCCTTCTTCTCTGGAAAAATATCAATTAAATAAACAAACAAACAAATAGTAAAATGTACGTTTTTCAATAAAAATAAAATGGTTGAACCAAAAGAGAACATGAGACTAACCTTGTCTCTGGAGTAACTTACAAGTCAAAAACAATCAGATTCTAGTGACTGTGCCATCTAAACCAGAGCAAGAGAATCAGAGAATGATTAAAGCAAAAATAACTTCAACTTCCTTGAATTTTTCAGTTAATTTCTGTGTACTTCTATCTATGGACATCCCACATTTTAATTTAAACCCGGTGTAGTGCAGTGTAGCCTCGACCCATAAACTAAGAGGTCACTGGTTCAGTTCCCCGTAAGGCACATGCCTGGGTTGCAGGCTTAATCCCCAGTATAGGGCATGTTGGAGGTATAATGGATGTTTCTCCCTATTCCTCTCTTTTTTTCTCTCTCTGAAATCAATAGAAACATAATTTTTTAAAAAGAATATTAAAAATAAAATAAAATTTGTGGGAAGAAATGACCTTTATTCTCTTAATATTTTATAATTAAACTAAAGGCCGGGTGTAAGAAATTTGTGCAGGGGGCAGGAGGATATCCCTCAGCCCAGCTTGCATCCTCTCCAATCTAGGACCCCTCAAGTGATGTTTGACTGCCTGTTTAGGCCCAATCCAGTCAGCCATCCCTCTCACAATCCAGGACTGCTGGCTCCCAACTGCTCACCTGCCTGCCTGATTGCCCTTAACTGTTTCTGCCTGCCAGCCTGATCACCCCCTAACCACTCTCCTGCCAGCCCGATTGCCTCTAACTGCCCTTCCCTGCCAACCTGGTCACCTCTAACTACCCTCCCCTGCTGGCCTAGTCACTCCTAACTGTCCTCCCCTGCAGGCCTGGTTGCCCACAATTGCCTTCCTCTGCCAGCCCAGTCACCCCTAACTGCCCTCTCCTGCAGGCCTCGTCACCTCCAACTGCCCCCCCGCCCTGCCTTCTTTGCAGGCCTGATATCCTACAACTGCCCTTCCCTGTTGGCCATCTTGTGTCCACATGGGAGTGGCCATCTTTGATCACATGGGGGTGGTCATCTTGTGTGTTAGAGTGACAATTTACCTATTATTTACCCTTTTATTATATAGAATTAGCATTAGATTATAGTAAAAAAAAATCTGACTGATAAAGCCTATGTGATCCCATGACAGGTTCATGCTGAATTTCTTAAAATGTGGGACAGGAATAGGGGATAGGAGTGAAGCTGATTAGAAAATGTTATTCTTCGGGCCTGGGTGTCTGCTTGTGTATGAGCAAAAGGTCTAAACTAGGGAGAAAATGAGGGGGGGAAACGAGAGACACTGTGAAGAGAGGCTATGGGAAGCCAAGGAAGGACCTGGGAAAAGGGGTATTTTAGTGATATTAATATATACAATAACTGAGTAAGAGCCTGCTGGTTTATTTAGAATCATTTATGCAAACATCGATATAAAATCTCACCCATATCATGCACATACCTGTACCATTGGTGTTACCTGGGAATATTAATAGGGTCTACCCAGCTTTTGATAGGGAAGCAAGAGAAGAGCCAGTTCTATAGGATATATTTTAAAAATAACTGAAGTTATTTTTCATTGTATCCTATGAGTCTTGTTCAACCATCATAAAACCACTAGAGGCCTGGTACATGAAATTTGTGCACTTGGTGGGGTGGTGAGGGAGTCCCTCAGCCTGGCCTGTGCCCTCTCGCAGTCTGGGAGCCCTTGGGGGATGTCCTTAGCAAGACTCCCGCCACCACCACGGCACGGCTTCTGGCTGAGCAGCGCTCTCCCTGTGGGAGCTCACTGACCATCAGGGGGCAGTTCTTGTGTTGAGCGTCTGCCCCCTGGTGGTCAGTGCACATCATAGCAACTGATCATTCAGCTATTCCAGTGTTTGGCAAACTCATTAGTCAACAGAGCCAAATATCAACAGTGCAACGATTGAAATTTCTTTTGAGAGCCAAATTTTTTAAACTTAAACTTCTTCTAACACCACTTCTTCAAAATAGACTCACTCAGGCTGTGGTATTTTGTGGAAGAGCCACACTCAAAGGGCCAAAGAGCCACATGTGGCTCGAGAGCCACAGTTTGCTGACCACAAAGCTATTCAGTCAATTTGCATATTAGCCTTTATTATACAGGATTAAACTGATAGAACTATTAATACAGTAAAAACATCTCTTGATGAAAACAGACAAGAGATCCCCAAAGTGCAGGGCAGGGTCAAGGGAAGCATGAAAAAGAATAAGCTAAGAATGCTTCAGCCTCCGGACCTACTATCTCTTTTGGCCCCGGGTGAGTCTGAGTGTTTGTCACTATCGTCAGATCCCTCAGGCTCTAGGAGACAAAAACAAAACACAAAAAACCATGTCAAAGAGTCACATGCCACAACTTTGGTGCAAGGAAGTGTGATGAGATATAATCGGTTGGAATTCTATTCATTTTTCTACTTTTGAAAGAACCTTTCAAATTGGAAAACCTAGTGCACAGAGAACAATGAACATTTCTACGTTCTGGGCAAGAGTCTTCACAGTTCTCATCTATCAGATTCTCTCGTTTCTATGAACCAATGACTGAAGTATGTTTTTGCTGAACTCCCCAAATCTGTAACTATTCCAAGTGGTTACTACTATTAATTCTCAGAACTGTCATGAGAGATGAAATACAATATTACTTCTGATTTAAAATATAAGCAGCAGGGGTGGTCACGTGACCTTTTCATTTGTGCTAAAAGAAAACTTAAGGCAAGAATAACACCTTTGGCTGAAACCGGTTTGGCTCTGGGGATAGAGTATCAGCCTGCGAACTGAAAGGTCCCAAGTTTGATTCCGGTCAAAGGCATGTACCTTGGTTGCGGGCACATTTCCAGTAGGGGGTGTGCAAGAGGCAGCTGATCGATGATTCTCTCTCATCGATGTTTCTAACTCTCTATCCCTCTTTCTTCCTCTCTGTAAAAAAAATCAATAATATAGATATTTTTTTTAAAAGAAAATTCAGCCTTTTTTTAAAAATGAAATCTTGAGAGAGCAATGCTGTCATCTATTTCAATGACTTATATAATATTTCATAATTTTATTAGGAAATACTAAGAAAACCCTATATTTCATCATCCAATATATTGGCTGCTTTTGACAAAATCTGGGTAATGTTTCCTTTAGGTCTTTATGAGTTTTTTCATTCTTCTGAAACATTTGCAATCACTAATTTTGCATCTGAAAATAAGAAAGCATGGATGCCAAAATCATGAACACACTTTATCTGATTGAACTTCCCTTACATCACCATGACATCAGACTTACATATTTTCTTTCAGGTTCAATGACCTATGATTGTGTAATAGTGGTTCCAGTTCGAAATTTAGGTGATTCTTCCACTTGCAATAATT